GTCCGATATCCCGAGTCCGCCTCGAGTCCTTGGGTGGGTCTCACAAAGCACGCGGAAATTTGCGCACAGAGATGCAACGTGGGGGTTGAAGGGCTAAGTTAGTAAAGCAGCTCCAGCCGCAAACAAGCTATTCAGAAGCAAACTGCCGTCTGCTTCTCAATCGTTTGTGTGCTCTACCACCCCTCTGACCGAGCCTCTTGTCGTTCTTATTCACGGCGTTCCTGGCTGTTTTCCCAGCTGTTTTCTTCACGTTAGTCAACTTGCCCATTTTGCTTTCTTCTTCAGCCCTCCACCTACGACTTACAATGGAGAAGTGAGCCTCAACTCTGACCGCGCATTCTCCGGTGTGACTCCACCCATAATATAGGAGGATTTCACCTTCCTCGCTCATGCACTCTATCGCCTTCAATTGTGTGGTCGCTCGTCAAAGCCCAAAAGCGTCTTTGCCTCTCTGTTCAGTGCACCTTGTCCATTGGGACCATGCGAACACAAAAAAATCTTTATAATCATTTCATCTCTCGAAGTTATAATTACCATCACCCTCAGGCTCTTTTGTGAACTTTAGTGATCCATTTGTCACTGGACTGCCACGCTAAACATCTGTTCGTATCATGCATATACATCTCTTGGACCATGAGATAAAATCCTTTTGAGGTGTCTCACTTCAAATATACGTTAGATGGAGTGCCTCTAAGCATTCGATGGCCAGGTCCCCAGCCGCAAAGAGTACATCATTTCGTCACTCGAAATGGGAGATAAGGCGCCAGAAAGGTGTATCTTGCAAACATTTACATTTTGCCGTGGCCGTTATTGCCTAGAACACAGCAACCTACACAGAGAATTACCGCGCCTTTGTTGCGTGCAGCATCGTAGGACAATTTCGTGGGCCCTTTATGGGCGTTACCCTTGTTGCGCTTTCCCCCGACAACCCTCTGAAAGACAAGACGCACAATCAGAAGCAAAGCGTTTCGCAGAGCAGTATGTGTTTTGGCGTCATTTAAACTCATCAAGGATGAAATTGTAGTGGAGCATAGTTTGTCGTATTTGCGTAATCCAAATTGCAAAAAACTTTAGCGAGCTATTCCTTGTCACGATTCATTTTTTTACAGTTCATTTTTCTAGGACTGCATAAAATCCAGTACTGGGCGAAACGGAGCAACAATTCGTGAACCAAAAGACCGCAGGGTATCGACTGGAGTCTTTATCTGGTATGACTTTTTCTCAACTAAAGAACCACTCAGATTTATAGCCGAAGGCTACTATCCACAGTAGCTAATCGCAGACCTTGTTTTCGAAGGATCGTCAGCGATTACTTGAGAATGTAGAATCTCTTCCTAGGCTAGGAAAAGCAGTATAAAAACACCAGAGTTTGCTGCGAAGGTCAGGCTCCATCCGCAGACGTCAGCCTGCTTCAAGCATTTCATTTCGTTGAAATCGCTGACAGTGCGGTCCCTTGGGTACTGTGACGATGTCAAAATCTGTTTCCCTTTCCTACGCTCAATCTCTACTACCGGTAGGCTCATGCATGCTCAAATTCTGCACTGCTTTGAGGACGTCTTCGCCTGCTTCTTGCTCTGCTCTTCCTTTAGCTTAGTTGCCACACAAACCTTTGTTTCCCAATTTTCACAACTTATACGACGGTTTGTATGCGGCGGTTTGTAATCTGTGTACACAAGAGATTTCGAAGGCCTCACCTCTATACGTCATCTGAATTCGTGGTCCACTGATTCGAATTGGTACGCCATTGAAAAGCCAGTAGATCTGTAGAATTATTGCAATTCAGGTGAAATTCCAGTAGAAACATGTGAAAGTGTTTCTCCTAACCTTTGGTTTTGGATTACCGACGATGTTCGATTGAAGGATGGCATCGGTGCCTTCGGTGAGACGCAATCCTCGTGGAGGCACACGAATGATCGGACGGGTACCCGGTGCTCCTTTGTCCAACATTGCCAGTTCTGGCTCGGTTTCCGATTCCGAAACACCCCATGGCGACTGGAAAAAGTAGTACTTTATTTAATCGCTCACTTTCGAAAAGCCAGTAGGGGTCACCAGGGGCAAAAAATACTCTTTGCGATCTGGTTTTGTGAGCGTTGCAGCGCTAAATACTGTAGTTCAGCTAAAGACGCGGGTTGTGGGCATATAATAGAGCGTGGATGGCACAAGATATTGACATATTTCTTGCCCTCGCTTTCCCTTAAGCCATGAATGTCCTGAG